ACATTACATGAACAGTAGTTTATTAACATCACTTTAATAAAATGTCTCGTGTATTAAGTGTTGTTGGTGATTTTGACATTATGTGTTGATGGCATATTTCTCCCATATTTCTCCCTTTCTCCAGGGAGCTGGCCTTACTTCTGTTGAACTACAGGCAGCAAGTGATACTGAAGACGGGTACACATTGGGAGATTCTGTTAGACATGGGTGACCAGACCTTTTCCCGACATTTCAGGATGGACAGGACACAGTTTGGGTATTTACTCACAAAGCTGCAGGAAAATGGCCTAAGCAGAGAACACAGCCATGGAAAAACAAAAGTGCCTGCCACCAAGAAGCTGTTGCTGTTCCTGTAGTACATGGCCAATCAGAACAGCTTTAGAGAGCTGTCCGACAAGTTCAATTTGTCAGTGTCATCGGCACATCGGACAGTTCTTCAGGTGCTGACCATTTTGTCGCGAATTGGGCCAACCTTCATCTCGTGGCCTAATGGATGTGAAAAAGGAGCATCTGCCGCTGCCTTCCAGCGCACCTGTGGCCTTGCTGGGGTCATAGGGGCTATTGATGGTTGTCACATCCAAATTCAGAAGCCAGCCATTAGAGGGGTGGACTACATGAACAGGAAGGGTTTCTGCTCTGTCCTCCTTCAGGGGATTGTCGACGAGAAGGGACGATTCATTGACATCTTTGCCGGACCACCTGGGAGAGTCCATGATGCAAGGATGTTGAGGGCCTCAGACTTCTTCCTTGAATGGCATCAAAAGATGGGGGAGTACTTTCTGCTGGGGGACAGTGCCTACATTAGCCAGGCCTTCCCATTCATCTGTGCACCTAAACGTGATAATGGGAGACTCACTGAGGCAGAACATCAGCTGAATGCAAGGATCAGCCGGGGGAGGGTCATAGTGGAGCAGGCGTTCGGATGCTTAAAGTGCAAGTGGAGGCGTCTACGTGACTTGCAGAACACGCGAACTGACATTGTGGTCATGGTGATCATGGCAGCTTGTTTCTTGCACAACATGTGCATTGGCCATTCAGACATATGCCCAGAACATCCACAAGGGTGCCCAAGGGAGGATGATGATGTTGATGATTTTTGAGTGATTCTTGTTCTGTTTTATTGCAGCTCATGAGCCCTTGAGTCAGGTAGTCAGTAATTTTTTATGATCTTCAATAATCACAGTGCTTAACAAAAACTATTTAGATAAGTACTTCAGGTGCAAATAACTATTAAAGTGCAAAGCCAAACCTTAAACTATATACAGTTACCATTGTATGGTCCATATAAGTGTAGGACATGAAAGACATTTAAAAAAGACCTTTTTAAAAGGTATACACTATAGTAGTGGTATCACAACTTCTCTAGCAGGCGAGCCATCAAATTCTCATGGCTCTGCTGGGCAGCTCTCAGCAGGGCAATGGTATCTTGATGACGCTTGTTATGGGCTGTTTCTGCATCACGCAAGTACGCCAATACATCACAGTCCCTGCTCTTTTTGCGTGTCCTTGGTGTAGCTGAGGTCGGCGATGGCGATTCTGGGAATTCAGCAGAAGGTGTTGTGCTGGAGGCGTCATTGCTTGCCGGAGAGGAGGGGATGCAGGATGGTGTGTCCTCCGGCAGTCTACTACAAAGGCCAAGCAGCTCCGGCCTGCGGACTACCAGCCCCCGTGCTGTCCCCACCACTGCAAAAACCACATCATGGTGGCCTCCAAGGAGTTCATCCATTTCTTGATAGAACATGAACCGAGTGGGTCCTCTCCCAGTGCAGTTGTTATTGTCCTTGGCCTTTTTATAGCCCTCCACCAAAGTGTTCCATTTTCTGAACACCTTGTTGGGGCAAAAGGTCCGTTCAAAGTGGCGGGCCAGCTTTGCAGCCATGTCTAGCCACAGCTGTCTCTTATTCTTCTTGCCCATATTTAAGCGGGCATGGCGGTCCTTCAGGGACTTTGGTGGACCATCACCTTCACCGTTAACATGTTCCCTCATCATCTCAATAATGTAGAGGGTCTAGGGGGTATTCCAGAAAGCTTGGTTAACTTACCATTTGGTAAATCTTAACCTCTGGGTTGATATACCCCAAACCCGCATACCATGAGTATGGCGGTTCCAAAACACCTGAGAACAGTAAGTTGTCAACCTCCTATTGGTTACCCAGAGTTAATGCGCGTGCACCGTGCATACATAAAGACGTTTTCAATTGATCGCCGATTTCACGAGTCAAAATGGAAAATCAAATTGAAAAAAAGAGAGCGGCATACTTCACAGAGGCGGAGTTGGACGTTTTAATGCACGCATATGAGGAATTCAAGCCAATAATAATGAATAAAAGCAATACGGCTGCATCGGCTAAAGAAAGAGTTGGCTTGGCAAAAAATAACAGACAGAGTAAATGCGTGTGTATTAAATTGCAAATTTGACATCGCCTCCCGTTTTATTATATTGCAAAATAAATAAACACGTACCC